TCCAGATTGCAAGTCAACTGCTTGACCACTGAGCAACCGACGCTCCTTTAGCATTTAATATGTCTACAATTTATTATCAGGACAGTCCTGCTTTCCGAATAAATATGGTGTCATTACAGCTACCTGCGCAGATCCATATCGCTATATCACCGCTACAATTTTTCTCTATTTTCTCGGGCAGTTCGTTAGTTCGCAGCGTGTAACTCGTCGCGCGACAAACATCGTTCAAAAAGGATTCGAATCGTAAGAGCTAAGGCGGAATTGTCCCTACGTCTGAAAATCCAGTTGTTGATATTTAATTTTCCACCAGAATTAAACACGGCAGTATTAAATCCTTACTTACTGGTATTAATTTATAAAAACAAATGAAGTCTCTATAATTTTTATTTTAAGGATTGTTGTAAACCTTTTCAATACTGATATTCTAAAGAGGAAATGATTTGTTTGTTTGCATTGAATAGACTCCGAAACTCCTAAACTAATTAGAAAAATTCAAGATTAGTAGTTTCAGAGTTTATCGCGAACGTACATCGTGACGAGAAATTTTTATCCGTATAAAGATATAATAGTCTGAATATCTCTATAGTTATTTAGTACTTTGGCGCTGCGACCCAAAGACGGTCTTGGTCTCCGAGACAAGAGAAAGCCAAAGTCGTCTATCCTGTGTCGTCTCCTGCCAGTCCATCGCTTGTAGCTCCCCCACATCTACGGCATCTCGTCAGCGGTTTCTAAGGAGTTAGACAAAATGCATTCGCTTCGAAGCGAAGTTCGCTATGGAAATAGCGAATTTCAAAAATGTATGAAACTGACGCATGACAATCACGTGGCATATCAAAAGTTATTGTCAGTTCTAATATACATTTTTTAAGTTCCTTATGGAATGGCTTCGAAACGAATGCATTTTGTCTAACCCCAGGGCCGGCCGATGAGTCGGATATCACAACACAGACTGTTTATATTTAGAAAAATAAAATGTTCGTATTACGTTACAATATTTACGCACGACCTGTTAATTATAAATAAGTTATACATCGTAATTAGCGAACACAACACAATAATAATTAATTTAATTAACTCTCTGATCAGAAATTTATGTCGAATTATAATTGCTTAATTGTTCATACATAATAATTTTATATTCAATCGAACATCGTTAGGAGAACGCTAGTAAAATAAATTATTAACGGTTTACTGGAAAATCTACTACTTAAAAATACACTTTATAATTTTTAGGGTTTCGTACCTCATAAGGAAAAAAACAGAACCCTTATAGGATCACTTTTTTGTCCGTCCGTCTGTCAAGAAGACCCTTTTTCTCAAAAACGCGTGAAGGTATCAAGCTGGAATTTTTTATAACTTAGAAGGTATTTTTTACTATAGTATAAGGTTAGGCAAAGCCACGTTTCGCTAAAATAGCACATCCCCAAGTTGTCAATGCGTTACTCGATGAAGCGACGTATAAGGTATTTCCCCTTTCTGTACGTCCCCTTCCCTGTCTAACCTTTCCTGTTAAAGAAATAACTGTATATCTATAACATTTAATTAGTCAATAAAATTCAACATATTCAACAAATTTGCATTCTCCTCAATAAGTCACGAATAACGCTGAAATTTGGCAATGAACATAGTCTGGAAAAACGTATAGGCTACAAAATTTTTAATTCCGTGCAGAAGACGCGGGTTACAACTAGTGATTTAAATCTTAGTCCTCACAGACAATTTCAATATCAAACCCATCACCAAAAAAAAAAGCTGGTCAAGTGCGAGTCAGACTCGCGCCCCTAGGGTTCCGAAACCTGTATAAGTAAAAGTTCACCAATCCCTACAATCGAGTCATAGTTGAAAAGAGTAAGAAGTCTATTCTTCCATAACATTTCCTTTCATAATATTACACGCGTATTTGTAATTTGTACCCAAGTTGTGTCTATAATAATGACGCTTTGTAATTACAACTATAGTTAGGAACTCGTTCGAGGCGCCCCGACAAATTACAGTTCGCAGGAACGACGCCGTCAAAATCACCGTCCGTATTTGCGAAACACACACAGAATACATCTTCATCTCTTTCACTATCTTAAAAATACTTGAGATAACAATATGTTTTCGTTTGAATGTTACACTAATAGAAACTCACGGTTATGTTTGTTTACGTACAAACATTCCAAAATAATACTAAGTCAAATGAGACAAAACAGTTACCATTGTACAAGACTTAAGTTAGGTGACTAGGCCATAGTCAACATCACGGGCCCAGTGCGGGTTGACTTTACACATCCTTGAATTTCTTTTCAGACATGTGCAGTCTCGATGTTTTCCTTCACCGTAAGAACGTCGGATAAATGTACATATGTAAATCGAAAAACATATTGGTACATGGTGGGATTCGAAGCCATGTCCTGCATATTACAAATCAAGTGCTTTAACCCCTGAGCCACCAACACTCTAAGAAAAGTCAAAAGAAATAAACGAGTGAAATTATCTCTGTTCGCATTTACAGTCTACGATGCGAGACAAAATCGTTTCGCATGGGACGACGGGTTCTGTACAATTTAAAACTCACGCACATCAAAATTGAAACCACAAATCAGAAAATCGTAATGTGTGAAAATCACTCGGAAACGTTAATAAGAGAAAAGGTGTTTGAAAGTATTTTCCTTCCACAGAAATAAATGCTTCAACATCAATTCTATTCTTTACATAATCTTACTAATATTATAGATGCGAATGTTTGGATGGATGTTTGTTTGAATGTATCTCCGGAACGGCTGAACGGATCTCGCTGAAATTTGGCATAGATATGAAACATAGTCTGAAGGAGCACTTAGGCTAATTTTAAGTTTTTTTATTGATTCCGTGACGGATTTGCGCGCGACAGCTAGTTAAAACATAAGTAAATTTCATTAAATTGAACATCACCATGTGTCAACGATTGTGTTCAGACTTAACGCCTGCGCAAATGTTGCGGCAAAACGCCATCGCGGGAACGTTGCCGATGCCCGCATCAGGCGCTTGGGCCATATATATACGTCTCTGTCTATTCGTGTCACTTACCTTCAAATCATTGTGCAATTCGCATCTTTTTTAATTATATTAATTTACTAAGTATCTGGGCTTTTAATTTGCACCATCTATCCACTAAAGATAGAACATGGTGGCCCATGAGGGGAAACAAAGAAGAATGAGCGAAATAATAACAATTAATATGTAAATACGGCGAGACACCGGTTAGCGCGGCGACGTAACGATCTTCAACATCACATCAAATCATTCCTGTGGATGGAGCCTTGCAGTGGATATTTCTAAAATCACGGGCTGTATTGGAAAACAGAAAAACAAAGAAGATTCGAGCAGTGAATCAGCTAAAGTTTCACATCGAGCAGTTACGAGTTCGTCCGCTAAGATAAGTGTCCTTCCTTAACTAATTCCTAAAAAACCTAATAACTAACAAAATAATATTCAAAATCGTTCTTCATTTGTGTAAATTAAGTATTTTTAGGCAAGTTTTACATTGTTTTATGCTCGTAAATTTGTTATTTAGTGCAAAATTGCATCTTTTTTTTACCTATATATAAAAAATAAGTGAACAAAGGAATTAACTTGTAGTTATTTATCGCAATCTTATCTAAATTAATACATAAATCATTCAATTGTATGTTCACTATTCCGTAAAATAGGTCAATGGAAATATATTAAGCAATAAAAGGTCACTCAATTGATATAAAGTTAAATTATTTTAAGAAGCAACTAACGTTGGTTTTGTATTTTAGTTTTTCTCGTTTCGTATTGTTTATACATACACTATTTAGCGTATTTGCCGAATATTCCAGGCTAATATTCATCATCGCCGTGCGCCGTTTGCAAGTACAGTCAGCGTCATATAGATCGTCACAGACAAGATATGCAAATATATAGGTACACCAAAAGTATTCAATTATATCGGTACAACAAAAGTCCTCAAAATAATAGCTACATTCACCCTGCTCAAATACATCGGTACATACACAGCGTCAAATATATGAGTACATGCAAGATGCTCATAAATATCGTAGCAGCCACAGCGTCATAAGTAACGAAGCAGTCAAGGTGCGCAAAAATATCGGTACATTTGACAAAATTGAACTTTATTGTTATTATCTACTGCTATTATTGAAGTATCGAATCCAGTTGATCATCAAAAGGTCAAAGTTCGTGCTGTTTTAGATTGCGGAAGTCAATCGTCATTTATATCTGAGTCCCTAAAGACCAGGCTGTCATTAAAGTCTCGCCACATTGACACACTAAAGGTCATTGGTATAGGCAACACTTCTCCAATGAATGTAATTGAAAGTTGTGATATTCAATTGAAAGCAACAAATAGCAATTTTAGTGCAATGTTATCGTGTTTTGTTTTAAATGAGCTCACCGGTCGTTTACCAAAGACGACGGTTGACATCAAGTCAATTAAATTACCAGAAAATATTCAGTTGGCTGACCCCTTGTTTTATCAGCCAGCCCCCATAGATGTACTAATAGGAGCCGATCTCTTCTGGGACATTCTAGGCAACGAACAACGTTCCCTAGGACCCAACAATCCTAAGTTAAGGAGTTCACAGTTAGGTTGGATAATCTCTGGCCCTATAAATTCAGCAGTATCTAGCAAAAGGATACACTGTAATCACGCCATTGTCTCTTCATCGCAAAATGAAAATGTAGAACAACTAGTTTCTAAATTTTGGAAGTTAGAAAAAGTTCCGAAAGGGTCAATCAAAGTGAAGATGAAAGCGAGTGTGAAAGGCACTTTCTCGCTAATACCATAAGAGATGAAGAAGGTAGGTTTTTTGTAAAATTATCTTTAAAAGAATCAGTAGATTGTTTAGGTGATAGCTACAATCTTGCAAGAAAACAATTCATTAATTTAAAAAAAACGTTTCAAGCGTAATCCAAACCTAAATACACAGAAAATGCTACCTGTGTTTGTTCGTTTGTCTGCGTTATAAATGTATCCATCTCGAAGGTGTGACTGATTTAACTAAGGATGCATTCATAATGACACTTCGGCGTTTTGTAGCGCGCAGAGGCAGACCAGCGGAAATATTTTGTGATAACGGAACTAACTTCGTGGCAGCCGCAAGGGAGTTAGGATCATTTATCAAGCAAAATCAAAACCCTCTATTTGATTTTGCAAGTCAAAATTCTATCCAGTTTAAATTTATTCCGGCTTACTCTCCTCATTTTGGTGGTATATGGGAAGCCGGCGTCAAATCGGCAAAATTCCACATAAAACGCGTCGTTGGCAATAGCCACCTCACTTTTGAGGAACTTAATACTTTGTTTACACTGGTGGAGGCGATTTTGAACAGCCGTCCTTTGTGCCCCCTATCATCCTCGCCTAATGACCTCCTTTCCCTTTCACCAGGACACTTCCTGATCGGGAGACCGTTAACTGCTCCACCATCGCAACATCTGGGTGACTCTAAAGAAAGTAAACTACAACGCTATGAACGATTAGAAAAAATGCAGCAACACTTCTGGCAAAGGTGGCAGCGTGAATATCTGTCTGAGATGCAGCAGAGAACAAAATGGAAAGGCAGTACATCAAAACTGGACATAGGAGATATGGTACTATTGGCAGATGACAATGCTCCTCCACTATCTTGGAAGCTCGGGAGAGTACTACGTCTCATCACGGGATCCGATAGAACAGCGAGAGTGGCAGACATCACCACTAATAAAGGCTGTGTGCGCCGATCTCTAGTAAGGCTATGCAAGCTGCCGACAGCCGAGGAACTTCAATGTTGAAAGTGATCTTTCAACGGCCGGGAGGATGTTCAGACTTAACGCCTGCGCAAATGTTGCGGCAAAACGCCATCGCGGGAACGTTGCCGATGCCCGCATCAGGCGCTTGGGCCATATATATACGTCTCTGTCTATTCGTGTCACCTTCAAATCATTGTGCAATTCGCGTCTTTTTTAATTATATTAATTTACTAAGTATCTGGGCTTTTAATTTGCACCATCTATCCGCTAAAGATAGAACAGATTGTGTTTTTTTTTTCAAAGGGAATGTGAAGAATAACTATAAATTTTAATACAATTGTTACTACAGTCAAAAGACAAACTAATCGTTGGTTTCTGAGACCAAAATCCAAACCGAAATTGACAAACGATAAAACGTTTTCAATATTTTTATAATATACTACCACTTTGACGTCCTATCCTTCACCAGCGTTCAAAGGGTTAAAATATGTGTTTAACTAAACAGTGTCTATGTTATTTGGGGTACAGTAATACATTAAAACAAGAACAGTTTTGGTTCAATTTAATCCGTTGCATGTTCAATTGATAGCAGCACTTCATATCCATCTCGTATGCACTTTCAAAACTTCATGAATATACATAACACTAACAAATCTCAAAACGTGTACTCACAGCCTAGCTTGGAAATACTGAAATATGTACTAACTATACACTTGTATCCTAAGGCTACAAACAGCCATGGAAACACTAACTAGATGTTGCCCGCAACTTCGTCTGCACGAAATTAAATATAAAAAAACATTAGTAGCCTATATTTTCTTCCAGACTAATGTTCTACATCTATGCCTAATTTGGAACAGATGTAGAACATAGTCAGGAGGAATATATTAGATGGATGGATGTTTGTTTGACATTATCTCCGGGAAGGCAGAACGGATCTAGCTGAAATTTGGTATAGATGTAGAACATAGACTGGAAGAACACATAGGATTTTTAAGTTTTTTTTTATTGATTGCGTGCGGACGGATAGTTAGGCTAGTTATTAAGTTTTTTTTTTAATTCCGCCAGACGGAGTCGCGGGCGACAATAATGTTTTATAAAATTAACATCAAAGCAGGAAAGTTAAAGCCAAATTTTCTTTATTAAATGGCCTATAAAAAATTAATACGATTTTTCATTTATTGCTGAATCATACGAGCCATTTAGCAAATTAAATCAATTCGTGCATTAAGGAAAGGAAAACATTAACTGAATTTGTTCGTCATGCGACGCTGCGTGGTTCATAAATATACATCGTTAATTTTATTAATCACAGCTTATGTAAGTTTTTTTTGCCAATAACGACAATTTAAAATCAACCCAACATAACCTTTAAGATGTATGTAGGGCTAGCTATCGCCTGCGACACCGTCTGTGCGGAATCAAAAACAACTTAGTAGACTATGTGTTCCTGCAGACTGTATTACGTACATGCCATACTTCATAGAGATCCAGGCTGCCATTCTAGGGATACCTTCTAACATACATCCAAACATTCTCATTTATAATTGCGTATTCATTTATTTATCATATTTTTAATATAGTAAGTACAATTCATAGCCTAAAAAAATATAATATTAAAAATAGAACCAGTGGTCAGGGCTGCAGAGACAGGAACCTTCTAACGATGCGTGCGATTTCTAGGATAACTGCCTTTTGTATCGGGCCCTTAATCCAACTGTTTAGCGAGAACTTCTTGAGATGCAGGTTATTTATAATATTAGTAATATGAGCCAAGTTGTAGATTGGAGTTGGTAAAAGAAAAGGGTACCAAAAGCTGTTCTTTGTATACAGACCTTCACCAAGGTCCTCTTTAACAGGTGAGATGATAGATTATTCCTGTCATGGAATGTTACGAAAATCAGTTACTAAGAAATTTGGATTAGTTTATTTAAGATTTTCATATTTATAACAGCCTATTTGAGTGTATTCCGGAAATATTTTAATCTATATACTCGTATATAAAATAAAGTCGTGTTAGTTACACTATTTATAACTCAAGAACGGCTTTACTGATTTGGTTGAAAATTGGTGAGGAGGTAGCTTAGAGCCAGGAGTCGGACATAGGATAATATTTATTAATTTTATTTTAAATTTATGCTTTTTTTAACTTACTAATATTATAAATGCGAATGTTTAGATGTGATGTGGATGGATGGATGGGTGTTTGAAGATATCTCTAGAACGGCTGCACGGATCTATATTAAATTTGGCATACGTATAGAACATTGTATGAAAGAACACATAGGCTACACTAATAATGTTTTTATATATCCACGCGGACGGAGTCACGGGCGACAGATAGTATTGAATAACTTTACTAAGATGAAGTCTCAGAAAAGTAAACCCTTGAAATATTAATAAATTTCGTTAGAATCTTATGATCAACTATATAAATTCCATATATTAAGAATTCGTGATAAATTCATATGTTATTTTGTAAGTAGGAAAGTTTATTAAATAGGTACTTTCATTATAATAAGTTCAATCTCATTTGACGGAACGCCGATGAGTTTCCGAAATCTTTCGCTCCAACTTCCTCCAAGATTGTAACAATGTAGAAAATAATCTACATGGAAAAGTTGAGGAAAGTGCTATATCAGTTATGATAAAAAAAGGTGTCAGGAACAATCTCGTACATTCGCGAACAGATAAAAGCAAAGAAAGTAACATCTGCGACCGAAACTCGCAAAGGCGTTAGATTTTGTTTGAGCTAGTTTGGAATGATAGTTGTTCACAACTTAACAGTTCGTCTACTGTTTGGTGACATTTGGAGAATTTAAATTCACTATGATTTTACGCAGTTTTGAACTATCACGATTCGTTACATTTTACAACTTACTTTTACTAATATAAATGCGAAAGTTTAGATGGATGGTTGTTTGATTGAAGGTGTATCCAGAACGGCTGAACGGATCTCGATGAAATTAAGAATAGATGTAGAACATAGTCTGAGGGAACACATAGGCTACTTATTAACGTTTTTTAATTCCTCACGGACGTAGTCGTGGGCGACAGCTACTAATATTAAAAATGCGAAAGTTTAGATGGATGGATGTTTGTTTGAAGGTATCTCCAGAACGACTAAACGGATCTTGATTAAATTTAGCACTGATGTAAAATATAGTCTGGAAGAACATAATGGCTACTTATTAAGTGTTTAAAATCTGCGAGGACAGAGTCGGGTGACAGCTAGTTACATACACATTTCATAACTTTTAGTTATGTTTAAGTTACAGTTATCAGACATTAAAAATAGCAAAGACCGATTAATATTTAATCGTATTTGATACTTCATAATGCCAACATCCTATGCTATTAATATTTTGTGACATTGCAAACCACCTCATAGAGTTTTATGGTCATATTTTTTCCAGACTGTGAACGCAATTGGTCAACACATTGCATCCGAAATTGGTAAACCAAGAAATGATAATCCCAAGGATCTTCTTATTATTCTTGTGTCACCAGAAGCGAAGTTTAAAACATCTGACGTAGACTTTGATGATACTTCTAGTGAATATAATGAGGATAGTTCACAAGAAGAAGAGTTGGAAAATATAACTCCCAAAGAAGATGAAGCATATTTTCTATATCATATATTACGTGTAAGATATTAGTTTTTATTTAAATGCCAATCAAAGCTAGGGTCTACGGTATGTCCGTTCGATCCAGGTTCGATCTCCGCTATGTACCAATATGTTTTTGATTAATGGAATTTCATAGATAAATCCGACGTTTTAACGATAAAGGATGCAACCTGCACATATCGGTGAAGATCTATACATCCATTCATTCACATTTATAACATTAGTAATGTTAGGAAGAAAATCCGACACTGTGCCGATGTATCAGCGCAACACTAGCCTTATTAAAATGTCAACGTTTATATCCCCTCACTAATCCATCTGACACTTGACTTGGTAACGAAGGCCCGCCATTCGCGCCAAAGGATTTTACTATTCTATATATATAAAAGAAAGTGGTGTTAGTTACACTATTTATAACTCAAAAACGGCTTTACCAACATGGCTGAAAATTGGTTAGGAGGTAGCTTAGACCCAAGAGACGGACATAGGATACTATTTATTAATTTTTTTTTCAAATTTATGCCGTGAAGAGCTTTTTATTTAAGTTACTAATATTAAAAATGCGAGTGAGATGGATGTGATGTGGATGGATATATCCACGTGGACGAAGTCGCGGGCGACAGCTAGTAATTTCTAAAAGTAAGAATTAAGATTTCATGTACTATGACCAATTTCATTATCTTCTTTTCAGACGACTGAAAACAGTCAGCAAATTGATAATAAAACAGCGTCTACAATAATGCGAACTAAAGAAATTCTACAACCAATATTAAGATCTAGATGCAAGAAACTTGAAAATTGTAAGAAGAACTGTCCCAGGAGAAAGAAATCGCTTTGCGAAAAAAAGTGCATTATGATGATTGACATATTCATTGTATGCCAAATGAAACCGAAAAATAAATGTAAAAAGAAATGCGGCAAGACAATGCCACCAGGATGGCGTTAGAACCAACGCTGAATACAATAACCGTTTATAAATCGAAGAACATCAGATTATTTTGTATTAAAGTACAGTCAGTGTCATATAGATCGTCACAGACAAGATATGCAAATATATAGGTACACCAAAAGTAATCAATTATATCGGTACAACAAAAGTCCTCAAAATAATAGAACAATCCACCCTGCTCAAATACATCGGTACATACACAGCGTCAAATATATGAGTACATGCAAGATGCTCATAAATATCGTAGCAGCCATAGCGTCATAAGTAACGAAGCAGTCAAGGTGCGCAAAAATATCGGTACATTTGACAAAATTGAACTCTATCTCTATTTACTTGTGATACAATTTGGAATAAACTACTTCTGTTACATTCATTTGACACTTTGTATTGACATTATAGGTTGTCCGGAAAGTTCGTTCTGATTTTCGATATAAAGCTTACTATAGACTGTAGCTGAAGTGGATTCATTTTCGGATTTCCACCATTATCAAACGTCACAAAAATTTCTATATTGTGAATAATTTCATTTCATTGGTTGAGATAAAAACTAATTTTTAAAATTTTATCCAATAATAAAAGAACAGGGTTTCAATTTTCCTTATAAAGCGGCACGAACTTACTGGGCAACCCAATATTTTTCTTCTCCTGTCATAACGCTTAAATATAAAAGTTTGTCACGCCGAATATGACAGATACGTATTAACTAATATCAAATTTTGCCTTGTCACAATATATATAATACTAGTTTGGCGCAGTATTCTAGTATGTTTGCCGTAATATGTAAGTTTACCGGTTCGAATCTCAGGCTACTTTTTTTTTATTTTATCAATCACGGGGTTATTTTTTCATAACCAGTAAAAATTTGGTAATGTAAAATTTTGCTCGACAATTTTTTTTTTATAATTTTCGCTGTCGGGTAGAAAGAAATTTAAATAAAGTTAGCAACAATTAGGTCAGACCATCGCGGGTGAAGTGAGTGGGCGGAGCGTGGAGAGTCTTTGCGGGTTTTAAGAATGGTACGCGCGGAAACTATACATACAAGTGTTATCTACATATGTGTGCGCGCTCACGCACACTGGAATGTTTATTGCAACCGACCAAAAATTTGATGTAGTTTGGATATTGACATTCAGTTTTTTCTTTGTTTCTTAAATATAATCAGTATCAGTAAAAGGTAAAAGTAAAAGTGTTATTTTACCGATACAAGTTTAACAAACATGAGTAATAAACAAATTACATGCCAATAGCATCGCTTTATCTCCTTCATTTTTGTTTGAAATAGAAAAGTACTTTAACGGTCAAACTCATTAGTCCAAGGTAATATCAAAAAGTACCTAATAACTACGGCGATAGAGTTTAATTACATGTGCTTCGATATTAAAATTAAAAAGGTTAAATATCAAAAAAAAATAGTGGCTTGGGATTTGAACCGCCGACCTTACGTACCAACGGCGGCGAACGGTAAGGCCACGAGACCAAACTAGCATATATGATGACAAACTTAAATTTGATGTTGGTTTTATCTACCTAATATCTGTCATCCGCGTCGAACACTTTTAGTAAATTTTGAAAAATGGTTTGATGCAAAGTGTCAAATGAATGTAACAGAAGTAGTTTATTCCAAATTGTACCACAAGTATATAGAGATAGAGTTCAATTTTGTCAAATGTACCGATATTTTTGCGCACCTTGACTGCTTCGTTACTTATGACGCTGTGGCTGCTACGATATTTATGAGCATCTTGCATGTACTCATATATTTGACGCTGTGTATGTACCGATGTATTTGAGCAGGGTGAATGTATCTATTATTTTGAGGACTTTTGTTGTACCGATATAATTGATTACTTTTGATGTACCTGTATATTTGCATATCTTGTCTGTTACGATCTATATGACGCTGACTGTACATAATGATGTTCCTCCAATCGTAAAAGGTTTTTCTATAATTTTTAATGCAATTGATTTCAATGCAATAAAAACTCCTTATACATCATTCAAACTTTCGTAAGACATTATACTAAACTGATATATAAACACGGCTAAACACGGTGAGCGACGGGCCGCGTCCGCGAAATAATACCAGTACCACTCATCCTGATGAAGGGCCCCCGATAGGCTCGAAACTTGTCGGTGCCGCCACCGGGCGAATATACGTGAGTGTTTAGCCGTGTTTATATATCAGTTTCCTTATACATCGTACACTCTTCTCAGCCACGTGACGCACACAACTGGGCGTAAATCTCCGCCAAAGACAGCCACGAAGATCCTGTAGTACCCGAATCCAGAATACTCCCTAAACTAGATCATTGGTTAACCTTTCGAGGGCCTACCTAGGCTATATCGACCTGTCATTACATTGGCTTTATTATTTTAGCTCAGTCATTGTTAAAGTACTTCTTAGTATTAAATTGTATTTTCACCTTCGAAATAGATAAAACACATTTCATAATAATTGTGGTTTAAAAAATTCGTGGAAAATTGAATTTAACAAATCTTAATCTAAAATTATATTTAAAAAATCAAATCAAAATGTTTTCACATCGTACCTATAACAAAAACTTTTATTATGTTTAGCTTTAACCAAATAATAGCACTGTCTCAGTAAAATGTCTTTAAAATCTAACGTTAAAGAGATTCTTCGATGCGAGAATCTTCATGAAAATGCTTTACAAAATATCTTTGAAATTGCCTTTGTTAATAAAGCTTAAATTATAATTCAATTTTAATTAATAAATAATGTATAGCATCTTATTAGAGGGATTTATTAGAATTCCTATGGTTCCTAGAATTTGAATATAAATTATTGCAAATCAATGACAAAGAAAAAACCTTTGAATGACAAAAGCAAACTCTCTTAGTATGAAACTAAAAAGGGGGATATTAAATCTTTGACGTTATACAAGGATAGTGAACCAATGATACGTACTTTCAGATACGTCACTGCTCACAAAATTTATTATGTAACGTACACACGGGTGACTCCTACGCTATGACATGTTGACAATAATCATAAAGTCAAAGTTATTGGATGGCACATCTCGTTAAGCATTTCTGTAGAAAAATGGCACGTCTATAAAGGTACTTCAACCACTGAGGTAGTAAGTTCCTCTTAAAATCTACCTCCTCCGCTGAGGAAGTTTAATCGATAGCTTTTTAAGCCTTCTTGAATAATACGAAGATTTTGACTAAGAACTAGTTAGAAGAACCTTACTGCTTGTTTTATCTGTTATGTTTTTTTTTTCAAGAAGAACAAGCCAGTGCTTGGCCACGACTGCATCGGTGTTAAGTGATTACGTAGCTTAAAGAAGGAATGCACTAGCTTAGGAGACGAGTATTCATCCTACTTTTGAATGCCCCACGTCACTCTCTGAGGAAAAAGCTAACGCTGGCAACTTATTCCAATCTTCAACCTTATCTAGTGATATTTTGCTATTAATAAATATAAAAAAGGCTAATAATAAAAAAGAATAATTTGTGATTTCATTTATTCAAAGCGACTATTGAGTTTTAAAGGCAATAACTTGCAGTTCAACATCTAGTACATGAAGGTCTTGAGGTAACTAGAATTTCACCTCTCGTACTTGGATTCTGGTCTTCACCACAATCGTTACTCTCTGGATCACAATCATCAGGTTCATCTTCGGGTTCACATTCAAAATCTTCATCACAATTAGTCTCACAATTATCGAGTTGTGTACCAGAATAATTCTCTTCACATTCTTGTTGACATTCGTTATTAGCTTCGCAATTAACTTCGTTTTTAAATCGGAGTAGTGATTTTAGTACCGGTGATGGAGTTGAACCGTACACTCTTAACTTGCCCCTGTTGCCTTTGTACTTTTGCAAGTTGCTTTTGCTTTTGTATTGTCCTTTAATCAACTTATTTTTGTATTCTTGACCGGGTGCCCTTGGTTTTTGGGGCTGGGTACGCTTAAAATACAATTTTAAATACTAAAGCGATATTCCTTTAAAGTTTTTATTGCTGCATTTGAGAAAATTATTTATTAACTAACGACGTTTCGTCAGAACGCGTAAATATTTAACATAATGAGGATTAGCCATTGCTATACGATTTTAAAACTGTTACTGAGAATCTCGAACGCTAATGAACAAGTAAAATACTTTTTCGTACTAATTAAATTTTCATGTAAAACCGTCAGAGTTATTTTAATTAGCATATCAAAAAAACAATTGCGGTTAAAAAAATATCCTGGTAATTCAATGAGAAAATAAGAAATACGTTATCATAAAACTGTGATTTGTTCCAACATAATTCTAATATTTCAAAATGTGGGTGAACGTAAAAAGACTTACAAAATTCTTGATTAAGAATATAGCTGGTATGCCACCATCTTTTTCATCACTCGATTGTAACAAATCGTTGGCTTTTAGAGGATACTTTTGGTTCTGGCTACTTCTATCAATGACAAGGACTAGTGGTCTGTTATTCTGAGCGGCACTTTTGTAAAGACGGCTTAATAGACCGGTCATTTCTGTGTTCATTCCACTGCACTATAAACGACAAAATTAAGAAGTATTTAAGCAATTGCATTTTTTTTAAATATCATAAGGTGGCCACTTGAAATCGCTGAAATAGCGAACTGACCGTTGCCCATAGACATACGCAATTGCTTATGCGTTGCCTACCTTTAATCGACGGAGGAGAGGATGCAAGAAGAAGAAGAAAGAAAATATTTTCCCTTTCCATGCATCCTCTTATCCGGAAAGTTCACTTCCACTTCCCATCCTTTCCTTATAAAAAAATGGTGGGTAGGGAAAGAGGACTAAATTAGGCCTTCGGGATGCTCACTCATCAGACGAAACGCAGAATTGCTTCCACTTCATGCCTACCTTCTGTGTGGTCGTGGTATTTCAACGGGCGAGCCGGGTCAATTCGTGCGAAAATGTTAAAGCGGGCACTACCACTGTTCTGTCTCTCAAGCAACAGGTAAAAATTTAAAAATAAACCCGTCTTGTTATTCGCTTATGATTCTAAAGAATACGAACAGAATGACACAGTCAAAGTGCTATTGGTCCTAAGAGATCGCAATTTTCACTTTCAACATTGTATGAAAACAGTAGCTGTTGCCCGCGACTTCATCCGCCCGGAATTAAAAAAAAACTTTACAAAGAGCCTATTTGTTTTTCTAGACCGTTCAGCCGTTTCGCAGATACCTTCGATCAAACATCTAAACTTTCATATTTATATTATTAGTAAGATATTATTTTCACTCTCATTGCTTTTAAAAAACATGGATGGCAATAAATTTAACAAATGCTAAGGCAGATTTTCAAGGATATATCAAGATATTTTAAAAGAAATGAACTGGAACAAAACTTACACTTATTATGAGGGTACATAGAATTTGAGCTGATATCATCAAAGTCATCATTTCTAAAGATGTTCTGTTTAGCCGCAATTTCTAAAGTGATCAATTCCTCTTTACGCCAATAAGTTGTCGCTTTAGTGATTTTAATCAAAACGTTAATTAGGTCTTTTTATTGTTTTTAGTTACCGTATTTGCTTTTATGTTTATAGCTCTAATTAGTGTTTCGGGTAATTAGGGAACTTTAATTGCAAAGACCGCTGTTACGTCTTAACTTCCTGCAGATTTGTATGTGTTCAAGGCCTGATATAAAGGGACAAGGAATCTGTATTAGTCATTTGTTCACGTCATTTTTGGACACCCTGTACCTATTTAAAGTATTTCTTTCCGTACATATTCTGCATCAAATCAGATAAGCTCATTTACCAGGTTTTTAGGGACTTCTTTTATAGGACATTTATAATCCACTGGACAGGCTAAAAACCCTAATATTTTGTGCGTACTTGATTTCAACGGGTGGATTCGAACCTCAAATTCGAACTAATAATAATAGTAAATAAATAATAGTAATATATTGTCTGCAATATTAATATACTTTTTAAATCGAAAAAGGCAAAAGCTGTTGGTTCCAATCAGCCATCTGACCATATCTATGTATAGAGGTCAGGGATTGTAATAATAACGCGCCTTTATACTAAAAAAAGGTTTTAAAAAATAACTCTGTCAGTTGAAACTCTTTGCTGTCAACCTGTCAGTTACAAGAGATGGTATGCCGATATAAATCGATGAAAGTTTAAATAAAAATGTGTTAAATTAATTCACAAAATTGTTAATGTTTTCACATATATATCATGGAATCAACATGTTTTTATGTAGCTCTAAGAATCATTTCACAATTGAGGCGATTGTGAAAACTTATTCTATTACAAACCATTCAAAATGCCAAATCGTCAAATGGTAAACATTTATAAATCTTACTAATATTATAAATGGGATTGTTTGGATGTATCGATGGAAGAATAGACGGTATCTGTAAGATGAAGGCTGCAAAGATCTCACTGAAATTTGGCATAAATGTAGAACATAGTCTGGAAGAACATAAGCTAGAGATTATTGTTTTTACGTTCACGTGGACGAAATCGCTGGCGACAACTAGTAAAAATGACAAACACAACGAACTTAGTTGCGCACCTAATATATTTCATGATATTATTGCAATTACAGATTTAGTTGTGATCTGGTTGAATAAAGATTAATATAATTTCGTAGTAATCATTATTATATCTATATATTTTTGTTTGGCTTAAAATTAATTACTGTATATTTGCAGGGTACAAATACAAACATGACTGTAGATGATGATGTAAGTCCATATTTTTTATTAATACCCACAAAAAAGCACGTCCTTTCTTTAAATAGGGCCACAATCTGAGAAATGGTGCTTATTTTCTTGTCGAAAGATTTATTTCTAAGAATAAACTACTCAATAAATATTGTCAACAATTCCAGACGCCCGACCAAACATCACTTCGCTCTTTAAACGTTGAACTCCGGGAATATTTGGATAGAGCGAACAATTTTGAACTGTACCCGGGCGCGGAGAGGATGGAATATGATTTTATAGCTGAGAGGCAAAATGTTCACGGAACTAAGTACGTTTAAACATTCACTATAATATTAAACATTGTAAAATAAGACATGGAAGTACAAAAAGGATATATCTAGCTCTTACAGTGGATAGACTGTCCTTAACCTTAACACTGTCTCTTTTTCCTTTCCATGACGTAGTCTACGCGGTTCCAACTCTTGATGGGAACATCGGACTATTGGCTCCTCGTTATTCTCTCCACTATATTCTATAGCCAATTGCCCAATGTTAGTTGATCCGATATTATTGATATCCACAAAGGAACTACAGATGTGTTACCTTTAAGGAAAGCACGTTCCTTTCTGGAAAGACTCTACTAAATCATATTCGAGTTTAAACAGACTGTTTGTTGGAGTTTACAAAATTCTACATATATTTCTACTGTACCCCTGTACGATTAGTTTCGTTAAACTTCTTGACTTTTGGAATTAGCTTAGATCTTGACTTTTTCAGTTTAGTAGAATCTACAGCGCACTTAATCAAAGGTTGCCTCGGTGCGGGTATCCTGGGCATTCATGAAGGCTACAGTTATGGAGGTCTCTGGACTTCGCTCGGAGCTAACATTTTGATCGGCTTCTTCGTTCCATATAACATGTTAGTAAGTAATTTTCTCCAAGAACAACTGAATTTTGGAACAATTTAAATTTTTACAATAAAATTTCTTTAACGTATTAACAATAAAATTATTTAGTAACATAAATGGAGAAGGAAAAGACTAGAGTGCGGATAAAGAATTAAAAATTCTGTACATTACAATATAAATAAAATAGTTAAAACTGTGTAGTTTTTTTACTTTATATCATCGTAGCACTTTCTTTGTTGCACCAAAATATTACTCGTATCCCTTTTCTCTTTCACGTAAAGAAATGGCTTAATTTGTGACGCATCCCCGAAGTTTCTTGTCTCGTGATTTTATTGAATTCTTCCCAATTTCTCTATAAAACGGGTGCCGTTTTATTTACCATTTTTATTATTACAGTATGTGCTATCATTTTTATTACAGTTATTGATCGATGCTGCACAAAGAATGTATTTAAGACTGAGAGTGCCAAGACTGTCATACCCTGATCTAGTCGAAGCGGTTATTGCGACAGGGCCGATGCGATGTTTGAGACCTTATAGAAAAATTTTTAGGTTACCCACAACTATTTTATAATTTATTGTATATACAGTTTCTTCTCTTAAACTAATCTATCGTTTTTGATTTCAGATATTCCGTGGACTTGTTTCTTTTCTTCGGATTTTGTAGTACATGTTGTATTTTTGAAATAATGATTGCTCGTACTTTAAAAGAGGTTCTTTATTTAGTTTTTTTTATTATTAAACTAGAAAAATACTTCAATCGGTAGCCAAATTTCAACGAGATCTGTTCAATATTTCTGGGGATACTTTTAAATTCACTACTCTATATTGTTAGAAAGAAAATCCAACACTGTGCCGGTATATCAGCGCAACACTAGCCTTATTCAAATATCAATGCTTATGTCCCCTCACTAATTTCAATTTGACAATTGATTTGGTATTGAAAGCGCGCCATTCGCGCCAAAGGACTCTAATAATGTCTAAAGGTATGAAGGACCTTGGACTTATCTTCTATGAGCTCCTAGTCTGTAACTCTTGGGCTGATGACTGCAACTAAGTCCATTGTAAATTTCTACCTCTGTAATTTGTCTATTGTAATATTAACTTCAATTATTTCATTCCAGGTATTAGAAACAGTCTCCAGTTCCTTCAAGAACTATAATTTTCCCATAGCTATTTATATTTTGTTTGTCTTCGTACCTCTATTGTCTCTGTGCATGATAAGAAGCTTAAAACATCTGGCGCCGTTTTCTCTCGTCGCTGACGTATTTTGTGGTAAAGTATTGTTCGGTATTTAACTATTCAGTACAAAATACAGACAAAAGTATGAAATCGAAACAAAGTAGATGTGTATTTATAATCATTGTTTTAATAGAAGACTGCAAAATAACCTGCAGGGCTAGACAAAATGCATTCGCTACAAAGCGATTCCATAAAGTATTTCAAAAATGTATAGAACTGACAATAACTTTTGATAAGTCGCGTGATTGATGACGTCACTTCCATACATTTAGTAAGTTCGTTATGAAATCGCTTCAAAGTGAATGGACTTTGTTTAGCATCGCTGATGTTAAGTTACTATGATTACTAATGCCTTTTGTAAATATACTTCAAAGATATCTTAAAAATTTTATCGAACATTCTTTCAGTGAAACATCGAAGTGAAATCCAAATTTAAGTATCCTATTTTCTTGAGAAGATTGTGATATATCTATCAGTAGTTCTAGTCCTATTTTGTTGATTGATTAAAATGTGTATGTACGAATATTTCAGGTGTTTGCGTCTTAATCGCTGTATACTACAGTATTCTATATAAAACATATGAATATCGTCCAGCTTGGAAGAGTGTTCGTGGATTGTTTCGTTTCTGTGGCGTATGTATCTACAGCCTGGATGGTATCGGTGTTGCCTTGCCTATTGAGAACTACATGACGAAGCCACAGTACTTCCATCTTGTTGTGCAATGGGGTAAATCGACTGAACAATGATCTATGCTTACCAACTCGTTGACATTTAAGAAATGAAGTCTCCCGCTGGACCAAAAGTGACTCAAGGATAGCGAAAAGTTTTCTTATCACCTATGTTCAATAGACGACAGTCGTATTGCCTTTGACGATATCTTGGCACTTTTATTCGACCACATCATCGCTCAATTTTGTGATACTGCAGAATTTAACAGCTCTTAATATCCGAGTCATTTGGATCCTTATTTCAAAGCTTATATTCCAGGTATGTCGATTGTACTTGTGTCCGTGGTCAGTGTTGGTTTCTTCGGATATTGGGCGTGGGGAGATGCTTGTCGAAGTCCCATCACTATCCACATGCCTAAGGATCGGTAAGCTTGTGGATATAGTGTGTACTGTCTTGACTGTAGCTTTTATTGTATTCTTCGCGTGGTTTTATAAGTTTAAATAATTCATAAATAAAAAAATCGTTGTCCCTCGCTACCTCTCTCATATTTTGTTAACATTACCTATATTTCTAACCCTAGTTATAAACGATACAGGAACGACCACGTCGCTATGTTGCCACAATTAATTCAGCTAAACAATAGCGAGTTTATAAAGTGTTCATTTAGCGCTAGAAGCGTTTTAAGTCTATTTTGTATAATAGCATTATCTGAACGCAGAGTTTCAATACAGATTTTGGTATTATATTAACCACAAGCGTATTATCTCTGCAATTTCTGTTGCAGTGCATCCCTAGCGCTCCAGTTCTTGATTGCTATTTCCCTGGGCGTTACATTCTCTGTACATTTGTGGGTGCCGTTTAGAACAATATGGCATTACATTGGCAGAGGATATAAGAGGTACGTTTACGTATGCTAAAACAAGGCTATTTGAAAGGTTGGCATGTAATATTTGTCATGACGCCTGCAAAAATAAAATAGCAAATATTTTTATTCTACAAATAATGTATTTTTC